TAAAAAAAAAAAAAAAAAAGATCTTTGTTCTGTTTTTATTAGGACATTCATAGCTATAATACCTCTTCCACATACTGCACAAAAATGTTATTTTCATTTGTTTCTCAGAGTAAACTCTCTAACTACCTGCTTAATACCATGTTGCTTAATTTGTACATATTTTGTGAGTTTTCCTTCTGTTATTGATTTCTAACTTCATTCTGATAAGATTAGAAAGATGCTTGTATGACATCTATCAGTTAAAATCCATTAAAATTTCACCCATGGTTAACAAATGATCTCTCCAGAAAAATGTCCCATGTCCCAAAGTGTCCCACGTCCCACATGAGAATGATGTTCATACTGCTGCTGTTGGGCAGAGGGTTCTGCCTATGTCCATTAGAGCTAGTTGGTTAATGGTATTATGCCCTCTTTGTCCTCACTTATCTTCTTTCTGGTTGCTTTTTGGGTTTTTTGTTTGTTTGTTTCGTTGGTTGGTTGGTTTTTGTTTTTTGTATTTTAGGGAAGGGTCTACAGGGTGTTCAGGGTCTCACTACCAGATAGGACTCATAGTGATCTGCCTGTTGCAGCTTCCCAAGAGCTGGGATTACAGGTACGCACCACCACGCCCAGTCTCAATTGCCATCTCAGAGTGCCCCAGGGGTGGGGCAGGCACAGCAGGCCCAGGGATCAAACCCCCGCCCCTGCGCCTGCTTGCTGGTGCTTTAATCTGCTGAGCTATTTGGCCAGCCTGGTTGTTCTATGCATTATGGAGGTAGCTCATAAATCTTATTCTTATTTACAAATGATCATAATTTTGTATCTTCTTGTGATATTGAAATTTTATTAATATATAATGTCCTCTGACAAGTAACGTTTTTAAATTTAAAAGTCTATTTTGTACAATATTAGTTTAACTGTTTTGGCTCTATTTGTTTATTTTTTGCATATCCTTTTCATTCATTCACTTTCTAACTATTTATAACTATTTGTGTCTTTGTACCCACATGAGTCTTTTGCATCTACCACATAGCTGCATTGTGTTTTTTTAAAAATCCATTCTGCTAACCATTGTCTCTTATTGGATTGTTCAATCCATTTCCATTTTACAGGTTCTGTCATTTAGCTATTTGTTTTCTATATGTATTATGGTGTTGGGGGGGGATTCACATATTTCTTGCACTAGTGTCTGCCTTGTGTTTGGTTTTTTGTAGTGACGTGTTTGAATTCCAATCTCATTTTCTTTTGTGGATGTCTGACAGCTACTTTCATTATGGTGTGTTTCTTTATGGTGGTAAGTGGTGTGATTGTATTTAGCATCCCAATTTAGGAATTTGAATTTAAACCGAGTTAACTCCATCAACACACAGAAACTCTGCCTCTTTAGCGGCTCTGCCCTTGTAGCTTTCAGTTGTTGATGTCACAATATTTCGTCTTCAGTCAGTACTAGAGAGCAAGCCAGGGAGTGAACAATGTTCAGATGAAATGCACCTCAACTCATTCTCTGGAGACTTTGCAGCCAAATTAAATAGGTAATTATACATTTTAAGCCTGCTGGAGATTTATTAATTCATTAAGTTGTGATGTACCTCAAAAGCTAGGTAATTTTATTGTTGGGTTTTGGATCTTTGATGAAATTTCAAGACCATTTTCAAGATTTTGCTTTTCCAATGTTTTTGCTTTTCATTTTTGAGAAAGAGGCCTGCTTAGTTGCGTAGGCTTGTTTCAAATTTCAGTTTTAAAGCTGAAATTACAGGTGTGTATTATTACACCCAGGTATATTATCAGTATTTTATACTAGATACAATCAATTTAGAAAAACATAGAAAGCATTTTGAAAACTATAGAAGATTTTTTACTGCTTTGATAAGGAAATTTCATAGAGACATCATATCTAATTGGTTCCAGGATAATTTTAAAGAGAAGTCTGAGAACCTGACGGGGCTCTTGACTATTACAACTGTACAAAGCATATGCTTAGCTAAACTATCACATTCACTTAGGGCCAGAAAAAAAAACCCAAAAATAAAATTTGCTGGCCCCCATCAACATCAGCAGTGTAAGAAAACACAGTATCTTATTTCTGAGGACTCGGAGGTATTTAATTAAAATATACATAATGGATGTTTATAGATTATGACTCTCCAGAACCACACCTGAAAGGTTTCTACAGAATAATGAAGAAGCATCAGTCACCGGGATGAACATGGATACCTTGACGTTGGGGTGCAGCCGCATTAAAGTCCTCTTGCTGTATTCACTATTGATTCCCAGAGCGAGCTCCACCTCTTTGTAGAGCATTATGAAGATCTTCACCCCTTGTTGCTGTCACAAGAGAAAACATACACAAACATGAATTTCCGGAAGGACCATGCTTTTCCTTTCTTCTTCCTTTCTCTGTGGTGTGCTTTCTTTCTTCTACATACAGCTAAAATAAAATATTTAACAAAAAGAGGCAACACAAAGAGGTGCCTATTAAAACACAAATATAAAAAATGAAAATTGATCTCCCTTCCATTCTTACGTCAAGAGCGTCGACAATACTTGATTATACAGACCGAGAATCTAGAATGCTGAAATGGTAACCTTCACTGTTGAAAATGTTCAGTTCTCTTACAATTCTTCACATTTCACAACACTTGTCATTGAGGAAGTTTCCACTGGGTCATGAGTTAGCACTAGAGTTCATTGTTTACTGACAGATAGTGTACCTCAGCTGAAATAAGGGATGAGAAACTTTGATGCAGTAGCTTAAGTTAAATATTTTGTAAATAACTCAAAGGCATTGTTCATAGAATTTCTCTTTACTGAAAAAAATGTATTTACTGGAAAACCATTTCTTAATGTTCAAAGATGAATGCTGATTCATCCTCTTAACTGAAAATTAGATGACTGAGATCTATTATCTGGTGAAAGGACTTCTTTAAAAGGAAGCTTCTCTAACATTCAAACTCTGAGTCGTAGCAGGAGCTTCATATAAAATGGAACCTCACATTAACCATGATCCAGCTTTAGGCCTAGGTTTTGAAAGAAAGCATACAAGCCTGTTTTGCCCCATTGAACTGTATCAAATTCAGTGAAACATACTTGGTGAATGCTAACATGCTATAAAATAATATTAATATTAACTACCAAAAAGATATCCATCAACTGGTAGTAAGAAAAACACTCTAGTATTCTCTATTCTGGTTCTGATTGGTAGCAGGCTTTCAGCCTAGGTTGAGTCACCTACCTGAATGCTCCTCTCCTCCCTGCACACTCATATGGACCCCCTGGCATCCCCTAATACATAGTACAGGACTTGCTTCCTCCACGGATTCCTATCTTATTTACCTCTGCTTTGTAGTTCACTCTTTTTTTGACTTGTATTTTCAGGAGTGCTCTGTAGTTAGCAACAATGAAGTTCGCATTCTCTTTGCCCAGTAGCTCTAAAAGCATTTGGAAACATACTACACACAGAGTATGTAGCCAAATTGTATCTAGGTATTTAATATCTTAATGATTAAAAGCAAAAATTTTTCCATAAAATGTTCTAGGGCATTAGAGATGGAGCTATACCTCATAACTATAATAAAGATAATATAGTGATAGTTTAAATTAATAATCCATGGCAATTAAGACATTACTCACAATGGGAATTTGAATCAAAATTTTAAGAAGTCTTATGACTGTGTTGAACTCATGAATAAGAACTGATTATTTTTGCAATGATGAGCAACATGCAATGAAACAGGAGTTAACATTTTTAGGTAGTGGATCACAGGTTATAAAATCTTCAACCAAACATATAGCTCCCCATTATTGTTCCGTTTAAACTAAGAAGCAGATTTTGGTCCATATCACTTCTAAATACTCATATCCTTAAAGCGGGTGTAGGGGCCGGGGATTCGATTCCCGGGCCTGCCATTCCATCCCCGCCCCTGGGGCGCACTGAGATGGCAATTGAGACTGGGCATGGAGACATGCGCCTGTAATCTCAGCCCTTGAGAGGCTGTAAACAGGCAGATCACTACGAGTCCAATTTAGTAGCGAGACCCTGAATACCATGTAGACCCTTCCCTAAAATACAAAAAAAAATTAAATATATATATATATATATATATATATATTCGTATCCTATCTCCTGATGTCAGTAATGCCTGAAACTGACTACATTTTTTCAGGGACACTAGATTTACATTCCAGTGTACATTAAGCAGATTTGAGAACTAGAAGACTCGCTCTTGCTCTGAAAAGAAAAACAAAATCAAAAAGAAGATAAATGTCATTCTATTTCTCTGGGCTGAGCTTTGGGAACTCATTAGAATTATGCAACTACTGTTATAATTAAGCATGTAAGAACAACTTGGAGTAGAGAAGGAAGTGGAAGTACAGACGAGAGTGGCCAGATGCGTGTCTGACGGGCTGGCTAAGAGAGTGCTCTAGAAGGAGCCACTCAATAGGGACTCTAAAAACAAACTTCAAGATCATCCTCTTTTTCTCCTTTTATGTGCAGATCTATTTTGCTACTGAGTATTATAGGATTCACACCTGAATCCTGGCTACCTCCCCAAAGCCTCCCATTATAAAATAAAATGCAAAGCTTAAGCTCCAACTTTAGCCTAAGTTATAGAACACTGCACTTGACATCATTCCTTGTGCTTTCATTTGCTTTACAAGAATGACATTCTGTTTCTTAGGCTCAAGACATTATTACTCACAAGGGCAACAGTTGCAAAATAGGAACTTGGCCTGAATCCTGCAGCTTTCCATTTACCTGCATAACTAATGGACTTCTGAAGTAACAGAGACGTTAGCACTAACAGATTACGTTATTACCCTTCATTTATTACTTCCTGACATTTGCTTACACACTCTCTTTTCTCACGTAAATATTAATTCTAAGGAAAGAAGACAGAGAAAGTTAATTCTCTATTTTAAATACAAATGACAAGTCATTTTAATGTGGCTTGTAATTATTTACTTATACCTATAGCCAAAATAAACAGTTAACTAATGATAAAATTTCTGTGAAAATAAAACAATAATTTCCTCCTCCTTTGGTCAGAGTATTACAAAACTATCATAAATTCTATAAAGTATAAAGAAAAATTATTTTTTGCAAGCAAAGACATTTGTCTTGTTGTAATAGTGTAATCTTATTTTTTGAAGTAGAAAATACCTGTATAAATCAAAGCCAAATCTTACCCATACAAGGACTGATACTAATTTTGTAATTTAAAAATTACATTTTGAAACATGCCATATTTTACTAATGCCTTTTGGTGACCCTAGAGAAAATGACATTTTTCTTGGTGAAGGAACATGTTAATACAGTGAAATTCTGGAAATGACTCTGCAATGCCATATTTTCTATTTCTGCTGAACCCAACCAATCCAAAGATTCCAGGGAATAAACTCCTTGAATCATGAGTCTTAGAGGAGAAAGGGTCTGTCTCCTAATTCATTTCTCATCAAGTAGATTGGCTGCAACATGCTAAACAGTGGGAATATGTAGTAGCTTTAGTTACATGTACAGAATATATGTGAAGACAATTTAAAAAAAAAGAGTGGAAATCAAAGAGACTTTGCTTCTTATACAGCTTGTTATTTGATTATTCAAGGAAGTATGGTCTAAATATTTTTTAAACACAGCCACGTTTGCTTTTTATTGCTTAAAGATAACTTAAATTCTTCCAATCCAATGTAATCACTAATTTTCTCACTGCAAGTACTTTTCAATATTTTAAGAAAATGAAAAGTAAAGTATAAAAGAAGCCGTATCATTACCATTTAAAGGTAACAGGCATTGAGACACAGTGGCACAAAAGTTCATGTTCCCTTTCTTAAAAGCTAATTTTGTTTAAAGCATGGTCTTGAAGGTTAGAGCTGCCTTCGCCTCCTCCCCGCAAGCCATCCCACCCTACTTCTTGGATAAGACTCCACCAGTTTTCTATAAGAGATATGGTCGTCTCATTTCTCAAACACAAACATATTTCCCTCTTAATGATCACCACTGTAGTTCCACATGTGCTGATGGTACAAGAGAAAGAAACCAACCTGAAGCCAAATGCAGCCTGGGAAAACCCTTTCTCTGTAAGTCTCCAGGTCACTGCACCTAGAGATTCTTTTACTGAAAACCTCATAAGAGATATCACATATTTCTAACGTGGAAATATACACAGAGTGCAGGGGTATTGTTACCGACAAGTATGCAACATATTTCATCATTGCTTAGTGTTGCAAATGCACAGACACGGAAACTCCCAGAATGCAATTCCTTTACATTGTCAGCCAATGCCTTTGAATATCATCATGTACTATTTTAACCAGTGATACATATTGCATGTCAGAAAAACAGAGAAATGGGAAATCAGTAGTTACTACCAAAGGGGGAAAAATGCATTTGGTTCTAAGAAATATCCATTACAAAAGACATTCTGCTACAAAGCAGAGATACTTTTTAAATTCCTCTCAAAGAATCTGTACGGTCAGATATTAGAAAAAATCATTTTAATTAACCCTATGGGCCTTTGGGACCCATTAATGCAAAAATAAATATTATGTTTCAACCTCATACTTTGTGAAGCTAGTATGTGGCTTTCAAAAACTAAATTATTTATGTGAAATGGTGTTTATGCCCATATGAAATGTCAAACTGGAATTATCTAAGAGTTAAAAATTTATGATCAAAGTAAGAGTATGGTGCATTGAGATTAAGGGAGAACATTCCACTAAATGTACAACTGAGATATTAATATTTAATGGTATTATTATTTCCTTAGGAAATTTTTAAAAAATCATCACACATAATTTAAAAATTA